ACTATAAACACGTTACAATTATTGTCTGTTTGTATCTGTGATGTTAAGAGGTTAGGGTTCGTGTGTTAGTATGTGAGGGGCGGCGACTTGCAGCTTCATCATCTGGTGATGCTGAGTTGACTATGTGTTCACATACTTTGCGTCATTATGTAATGGAATGTGATAAAATCGCGACAATCAGAGATAACACCATCAATGGTGTCCAAGAAATGGCTAAGTACTCCATTCATAATGATGTACTGCCAGGAATCCTAGCGAAGTAACCAAATTTGATTACTGTAGGTAATGCATGCACATGACCAACCAAACTGTAATTTATATATCAGGCTGCGGCAAGCCGCGTCCAACAACCTGGTTGACCAGTCCATCAACTAGGAGACCGGGCCGCGGGGACCTTGACCCCCAGAATCACTGCAAGGACCCTGTAAAGTTGCCGCCCAGTTGGGTGGGTGTGGAGCAAGATAAGTGTATATGTAAACCCTTTCCACCACCGCCCACGGGATGGGTATGGAGTGCATAATATGTTGACCAGACCACACACTAGAAGGTGAAGGGACGACGACGTTTCGGTCCGTCCTGGATCATTCTCAAGTCGAAGTGCATAATAAATAAGTGCATGGAAAGGGGAAGGCGACGACATACTGTTAATCCATTGATGCGATTCAGCACAACGACGGGTCGCTGGAGACGAGAACAGCTGTGTTACCTGTATGTAACTTGTCAGCCTGTCCCTGGAATGTCAGTACTCACCTAGTTGTGGCTCTTTGGTCCCGCCTCTTAACCGTCAATCAATTGGTGTACAGATCCACTGTATCTATCATATCAACATTTGAAACTGTGTATGGAATCAGTGTATGGGTATCTAATCAGCCACATCACTGCCCAAGCATTCCCATTTGTTAACTATGACTGAAAAGATTCTTTTGAATGTCTCTGTGGCTCATTTCGGTACTGGGTTTCCATCTGTGTTCCCTTGTTTGTGTTCCATCCGTGTTAAAGTGTTTGTCTTTGTCCACCCTGTCAGTGTTGGCTGTTTCATAGATACAAGTGGCGGGGAAGGTGGTGGTTCAGAGAGAGAGTAATGACAGGGAACACCCACACGGGATGACAGGGAACACCCACACGGGATGACAGGGAACACCCACACGGGATGACAGGGAACACCCACACGGGATGACAGGGAACACCCACACGGGATGACAGGGAACACCCACACGGGATGACAGGGAACACCCACACGGGATGACAGGGAACACCCACACGGGATGACAGGGAACACCCACACGGGATGACAGGGAACACCCACACGGGATGACAGGGAACACCCACACGGGATGACAGGGAACACCCACACGGGATGACAGGGAACACCCACACGGGATGACAGGGAACACCCACACGGGATGACAGGGAACACCCACACGGGATGACAGGGAACACCCACACGGGATGACAGGGAACACCCACACGGGATGACAGGGAACACCCACACGGGATGACAGGGAACACCCACACGAACACAAGCGCCCAGATTCCCGCATGGTGATGTTTTGGTCACGAGGCAGTGGTGTTGCCGGCACCGCAACTCAAGCACTGGGATGTGTTGAGTGCAGGACCGGCGAGTGTTGGCATGTGCGGGCCGGTGGCTGACAGCTCCTACTTGTTCACAAGGGCGCACTAATTATTGAAATTGTATCTACAACTGCAGACACACACGCAACTTTTTTACCTCGGCTGAGTGGACAGCGTTCGGGGGTTGTAGTCGTAAGGGTCCGGGTTCGATCCCCGGTGGAGAGGGAAACAAATGGGCAGTTTCTTTTACCCTGATGCTCCTGTTCACCTAGCAGTAAATAGGTACCCGGGAGTTAGACAGCTGCTACGGGCTGCTTCCTGGGGGGGGGGTGCGTGTGTTAGATATATATAGTAGACATAATAGAGGTAAAATAGAATGGTTAGAAAGGCGGGGTCCAAGAGCTCGATTCTGCAGACACAGATAGTAGTAATAATAAACTCACTCATTTTGTTCATTAAAATATTATTTTACAAATATATATATCAGGTAAACTGGTTAGATCCGACCGTCGGGTTGAGGTACAAAAAATAATGTCGAAGGTGAAGGAAGATGTGTACAGAGGCTCCAAGGTCTGGCGGCCTCTCCCACACCGCTACCCCGACCACCAAGGTCCTCCACGACCACCCCACACCAACCCACCCACACCAACCCACCCACACCAACCCACCCACACCAACCTAAACCCACACCAACCCACCCCTACGCCCACAAGACGCTCATCTGTCCTTATCGTATCTGCCCTTATCTCATCTGACCTTATCGTATCTGCCCTTATCTCATCTGTCCTTATCGTATCTGCCCTTATCTTATCTGTCCTTATCTCAGTGTCCTCATTATTCCTTACCTCAATGTCCTCATAATTCGTTATCTCATCTATCCATATTCCAGCAGTTCTCTCACTGTATGCCCCTATCCCCAGGCCACTAACCCTGAGGACCAACCCAGTGAGAATATAATGTTACGTTTTATATTGACAGTGACGTGGGGGTAAAGGTCAACCAGACCTCCACCGTGCCCAAGATGGACCACGAATTGATTTCTTGTTTACAAATTTGTTTGGTTCATATAGCGACCGCTAGAGTTGGCGTTTGGTCCAGCAGCACTGACCGTTTTTTTGGATTTGCCACTCCCTGATTTTTTTAAATTGCTTTGCCTAACCAGAAACACTTGTATCTTAGCACCCCCCCCCCCTTAGTACAATGGGTATCTAATTGTCTTATAAAATAAATAAATTAATGTTTGTTCAGGTAAAGTACACACATACAAGAGGTTTTACAAAAATTGATAGATTTATAGATAGAGCTAGTACATACAATGCCTAAAGCCACTATTACGCAAAGCGTTTCGGGCAGTTACAATGGTCTTGTTTGGTCTTGTCTCTTGTTTACAATGGTCTGCTAGCCAATGTTTGCCATGTGTCCAACCTCAGCTTCTCGAGGGACAACTATATACAGAGTAATGCGGATGGACTCGCTAGGCTAGCTATACGTAATTAATATTTGTCAAGACCTGTTATCGAACGCATTAATAATTTATGCTTAGTGCCGTTAAGTTGTCTGGAATGTCAAAAGCAGGAGTCCTTATTTTTGTTATTTTCAAGCATAAACGTACTAGAGATGAGTGGCTGTTGTATGCAAGTAATATAATATAGCCAGACTGTTGCATGCAATATAATCTAGCCATACTGTTGCATGCAAGTAATATAATATAGCCAGACTGTTGCATGCAATATAATCTAGCCATACTGTTGCATGCAAGTAATATAATATAGCCAGACTGTTGCATGCAATATAATCTAGCCATACTGTTGCATGCAAGTAATATAATATAGCCAGACTGTTGCATGCAATATAATCTAGCCATACTGTTGCATGCAAGTAATATAATATAGCCACGTGTTTCTCCGGAAGATTATGACAAGAGATATCCCAGTTTGTTTTGTGGGAGAACATGGCCAGCCAGCGGTGAGGTGAGGTGTTCCGTCACTCTACCTGCTCCGTTATGCTGCGGGTGACAGATCCCGTTCTCAACCTGACTTAAATATGTCCCTCAGACACACGGAATCTGCCTCAAAAACACGCCTCCTGTCCCCAGACTCACAACCCGCTAGTTTGGTGTTGGGATTAAGTCCTAAGTCAAGCAGGATCTAAAACCTGAACCGGCACGAACCTTATGACGTCACAACGGGGTCACGCGCACACGGTAAATAAAACACAATATTTCATCTAAGTTTCGTTACGTTAAAATAGATTGAGCCAGAATACCGTACACGGCAAGGGGGTGGGGTAGGAATGGACCAACAAGAGGAACAAGAGGGAAGGAGAGAGCTGACCAACCAGCAACAGGAAGCCATGGCGGGCCAGTCTGTTTTTGTTGAGGAAGGGGAACAGATCTTGGGGATGACGAAACCCCCTCCCCCCCCCCTCCTTCTTCCCCGTGTTCTCTACAGGACAGAGCTGACGAAACTCTCCACTATTCTTCTCTCTCTCCCTCTTGTATATTATGATCATATTCCTTATGTGGCTTCTGACTTCCAGGCTTGTGAGGTGTGGTAGCCTCATGGCGTACGTAGCCAGTCTCGTTACTCACCTCCGTACTCACCGGTACTCATCTCAGTACTAAGGTGCGTGTGGCGGGACATTGTGCGGGTTCCTTGCTACGTATTATATTATAACAAATTATTCTTACTAAATGATGTATCAGATATAGATATAATCGATTAATTAGTTACTGTGGTGATAATTTTTATAGCAATCAGAATAAATATTGACCTGCGTTGTGGTGGTGATATGATACACAATTCTTAGGTTTTATTTGATGTACTCACCTAGATGTACTCTTCTAGATGTATTCATTCACATGCGCTTGCCGGGTCGAGTGTTAGCTCATGTGTCCCACCTTTCCGGTTGTCTGTTGTTTAACGTTGTGAGTCGCTTCCCACATTTTCGTCTAGAATTGTGTATTGAAAGTTAAAAACCATGTTTCTTAACAAGCTGAAGATGTTTGTAAATGTTGGATATTCATACCCTTTTCCCCCTTTCATTTTTCTTATCTTTTCTCTTACCTTCCTCTTATTCTTATACCTTATCCCATTATTACCTTTTCTCTCACCCCATTCTCTTACCTTATGTATTTGCCAAACGTCATTTCTCCATTTTCTTATGTGTGGTTTGTCATCATGTTAATATTTTGTCCCTATGGATTATCGTACGCGTATTTGCGCATGCGTACGTGCGCCTCCCCTCAATCCCACACATGTATTCAAGGCGAGAGCGAAGACAAATGCGCTGGCGAATACCTAAACCATTGAAAACGTGGTGCAAAGCCAGAGCCGTGGTAAAGCAAGCCCATTAACACCCTGGAGGTGTTGGTCTTACCACCTCCCTGCTGCAGGGAGCAGCGCTCACCAGTGAGTGTGGCAGCTGCCGGCCGTACGGGAGTGTCGGGTTACGGCGTTGTCGCCATGGTGTCCTGGCAAAATCTCGGGTGAACGGAAGTTCCGGCCCTTACTGGCCACCTGAGTGACATGTGGGCGGGCCTGGACTTGACTGCGTCTCGTGTGTGTATCTTAACAGAATGAGAAACACCCGTCACTAAATAAGTAGGCATCTTGTGCACCGGTTGCCAGTTTGACGAGGGAGAAGGAGCCCAAATGATCCTGGGACTACAAGGAAAGAGATCCCTGGAGACTAGAAAAAGTGCTTTGTGATCACTATAATCATTGTCCAACATCGCCGACGCTCCGATGATTCGACATGAACACGATTAAGCAACATTCTGAGGAAGTAAGTGTTCTTGAAGTAAGAGAGAGACGCTGGCTGAGGAAGCGGAAGCTGCTCAAGGCGTCCACTACACAAAGTTAATTATCGTTATGAAGACATTGCATCACTGGTAAACCTTAGACCATTGCCTTGTGTCAAATAACAGGATGGCCACAACTCAAGGAGCCAAGGAACATTAATAATAAATTCGATGTGTAGCGTTGTAAGACATCGGTGACATTGGGAATATTATTGGAGCCAGGAGTATAGATGGCGTCTGGAAGCTGTAGTAGTGTAGTGTGTGAGGGATGGTGTCTGAGAGTCAGGTAACAGTGGAGGATGGTGTCTGAGAGTGAGGCAGGCGATGAAGCACGCCTCCCTGCACTCCGTGATGCAGGCTGTGAATGTATTTTGATCTAGATGTGCCAATGAACCTAAATCCTGCATCAGTTGCATCTCAGGCTGGGTTAGAGGAGGTGGTGTAGTGTTATAACATATTGGGTGGGTTATAACCTCTCAAACTCCTGTCGAACAGAGGCAGGCGGTAGAACAGCTCCTGCCACTCTCTAGAGCAGCTAACCCGGCCCTCCACTACTCACAATTGATGAGTGGACGTGAGCGAGGCAGGCGGCCAAGTGTTAGACAACATTAATTACAAGCGCTGCTCCCACTGTCTTCTCACTAGACCACTTAATTAATATGTAATTAGTGCATCTGGCATCAGTGGGAGGAGGAATATAGTTGTACCGTATCCCGCCAGCACCGTGTTCTCGTCTGTTGTGCTGGCGGGGGTTGAGCTTTAGCTCTTTGGTCCCACCTCTTAACTGTCAATCAACTGGTTTGACTGTAATGATTTCTGTCTTTTCTGTTCCGGTACTAAAAATACTTTGTATACGATACTAGAAACATCTTTTGTAATTTATTTGCAGCTATTAACATTAGCAAATGTAACTCCCGATGGCAGTTTTATGGACCAAATTGTTTTTGTCGTATTTTTTGTACCGAATCTGAGCGTTGTTTACATGACAAATACAAGGAATTTCACCCCTCATAGCGTCTAATATTCCTATCAGTATTTGTACCCATTAATAGGAGATTCAGTTACAAGATCCCTGGAGTTGACTCAACAATTACTCATAATTTTGTTATCTCAGTTATCTCGACAAACACACACAGGCTCACACGCGGGACCAAAGAGCCAAAGCTCAACCCCCGCAAGCACAACTAGGCGAGTACTCAAACTCACACACAAACTCACAAGCGTTCTTAATTCATGCAATTTATTTATAATAATATTTATAATAATTGTGACAGACCTAAGAGGCTTCAGTCTCCAACAACGGGAACTAACTTAAAGACATTTACTGTGGTCAAAGTGTAGGTACGGTAGGCTGGGGGGTAGGCTCAAGATTATGGTCATTCTCTATAGGCGTGTTGCAGACAAGTTATGCTAAGTGATCCAGAGAAAGATTTAGTGAAGTATGTTGTTAATTGTGGCACCTGTTGGCTCTTTAGGCCGAGCCTAACGGTAGGTGTGATGAGTGTGTGAGTGATAAGTGTGAGGGGTAGGTGGGTCATGAGTCTAGTAAAGGTATAAAACCTAACACGAGAGACTATTTTTATCAGGAATTAGGATTTTTATTGTTTTTATTTTATTTTATTGAATTAAACACTATTACATTTATTTTGATATTGTTTAACTGCTTGTTCAAGTCTTCCAGATAATGAAACAATTTTTAAAGGTGTTTTTCTTAAATGTACATTTTTCTTGGTTATTCATATGAGAGAGACTTTAATAACCCACTGTTTTAGTGTTTTAAGTTGCAGGTGTTCAGGATTTCGGCTCCAGGTGATGATGCATGCCTGTCAACGTCAATGAACCTTTCCACGCCCGCCAGCTCTGCGCCCACACGCCCACGCCATATCCTATCGAAGCAGAATATCAATACCAGGCCACCTGGCGCTCACGAAAGAGCAGCTCCCTACAGAACTGAGTTCGTAATCTACTAGATACGGTGGGCGACTCCGCGTCGTTGGTTAGGCCGGTCAAGCCATGGGCGTTGTGGTGTGAAGGGTTACATAGTAGGGACATCGTGGATAGGTTGGGGATGTAGGAGATAGGTTACAGGAAGCAGTGTACGCAACATCAGTGGGTGATTTAGGTCACCTGGCGCAGCTAGGCGAGGTGGCTTCGTCAGGTCACTGAGCACACCGCCGGGAGCAGTGTAACAGGGAATTTATTGATAAAGAGCCAGGCGCCACCACGCAGTAAGGTGCTGGTGGTGGTGTACAAGGCCTGGCGGAGCGAGAGTATGGTAACGGAGCGTGGGTTGGGCCCACCGCCTCCTGCAGGAGCCCGGGTAGCCTAGTAGGACACGCTCTGGGAAACACGAATGATCTTTAAGTATAGATCACATAGTATAGAATTGAATACAATTACAGGACGCAATATAATATAAATAAAAGGCAGCAATGATAATAATTATCTTATTATTGAGAAAATCAGAAGCCGGGAAAAATTTTGGGAGTACCCAAGCACAGACAAGACTCCTACTCAAGGCTTCTACTAATTTTCTCATTGATACAACACGTTAAAGTAATTACTTTGTACATTATTATACAAATCATAGATGAAGTAATGAGGAAGATGTGAATACGAGCTGACTAAAAGTCGCTGCAAGAAATGCTGCGACACTCGTGAGTGGCAAGACTAGAATCTATTACCGTATGAATAGATCCACTCCCCACAGCAAGCAGTGACGCGGGACCTCACTAAGTGGCGCAGGTGGTCTCTTTTGAGTGAATATCTGAGTAACCGTACAGTAGTCACTCCGTCGCCTTGACAACAGCAACAACAGTCGTGTTGACCACGCCATACCTGCGCCCGCCTACCCCCCCAGTATTTTCCCGCGCGGTGGCTAGGCTTGCACGGTCTTGTCCCTGAGTTATTCTCACCAACGTTCTCTCGGGCGAGGCTACAGAAACAGTGGCCCCTACACTACAACATAAACATCAGTACAGTGAACCCCTTGTATTAGATCACTGCCACAGTTATCATCACTGCATTCACAACACTGGCACACGTGTCACTGCATTCACAACACTGGCACACGTGTCACTGCATTCACAACACTGGCACACGTGTCACTGCATTCACAACACTGGCACACGTGTCACTGCATTCACAACACTGGCACACGTGTCACTGCATTCACAACACTGGCACACGTGTCACTGCATTCACAACACTGGCACACGTGTCACTGCATTCACAACACTGGCACACGTGTCACTGCACCAAAACACTGGCACAGTTGTGACTGAACCACTACAACACTAGCACCGATGTCACTGCACCACCGCAACACTGGCACAGTTGTCACTGCACCCCCACAACGCTGGCACAGTTGTCACTGCACCACCACACAACACTGGCACAGTTGTCACTGCACCCCTACAACGCTGGCACAGTTGTCACTGCACCAGCACAGAGCACTGTCACAGTCGTCACTGCACCATCATAGAACACTGGCACAGTTATCACTACACCACCACACAACACTGGCACAGTTGTCACAGCACCACCACACAACACTGGCACAGTTATCACTGCACCACCACACAACACTAGCACATTCGTCACTGCAGCACCACACAACACTATCACAGTTGGCACTGCAGCACCACACAACAATGGCACGGTTGTCACAGCACCACCACATAACACTAGCACGGTTATCACTGTACCACCACACAACATCGGCACAGTTGTCACTGTACCACCACACAACTACACGGGGACCACCACCACACACCAACATAGTTATCACTAGACACGGTCTAGTCCTATTATCTAGATAGGCTACAGTAATGTCGTAAGTGTCCAGCAGTGTCTGTTCCCACTGATCGCAACTACAGATTGAAATCATTCTTGCTGGTGGGTATTCAGTGAGTTGCTGAAGACGACTACAGCTCTACTGTAATGGTAGGGTACAGGACTTACTGGTCAGTGAAGGAGGCGGGGCTTGGGTAAGATGTGGGGAGGCGTGGTCATACTGGGAGACGGGGGTATATAAAGGCTGGGAGGCCTCTGTGCTTCAGTAGAGTTGGTGACTCGTCCCACTAAGTTAGCTGCCTTCCAACGCCACACTTGCTGCCCGCCAGACCCACGTGGTCCACACCTAGTCCACCTGTTCGCGTTCGACTTGTGATTCTTTACACATTGACCTTAGGAATATAGGACAATGCGTTTAGTAGCACTGTTATTATTGGCCCTTGCGTCGGGTACCGCCTGTGCGGACACCCTTGGCTTGGGTCTCACCACATCCACCACGCTGGCACCCAGCCTCCCCGATGCCTCCTCCATGGCCGATTGGCATGCATCGACACTCTGGATTATCATCTTTGGATTCATCCTGGCTTTCATACTTGCCTTCGGCGTGGGTGCTAACGACGTGGCTAACGTGTTCGGCACGAGCGTTGGAGCTAAGGTGTTGACGTTGCGGCAGGCATGCATCATCGCTACAGTGGCAGAAATACTGGGCTCCGTTCTTTTAGGTAAGCATATTTTAATGTCTTGTGAATCTTTCCACAGGTCTCCGCCCGGAGCTGCTCCGTCGCCTTCTCCTTCATCCACAACCACACTCTCCTGTGACACACACCTTCATCTTAGTCTTTTCTACTCATTCCATTTTTTTACGTGCAGTCATTCTCGTCACCTGCCATCCCATCTTGAGGCACACATCCTCATTTGAGCATTTTTTCTACTCATTCCGTAATTTTGCTCACGGCAATTTTCTGTCACTTGTCATCCTGTTCCCTTAGGCACATACTTCACCCATTTAGGGATCGATAACACCTACCTCCATAGATATCATTTCATCCTGAAATTTCTTTCAAGCCTATTACTGTTTTTAGCACGTGCTACAGCCTTGTATAATAGTCACTTGTTTAGTCCTACCTCGCCAAAAACACCACATATACAGACACACACACACACACACACAAACACACCATGGAGCCCTTCTCAGCTGAGCTCTTGCCCTTCGTTATAGCCGGCTTCATCATCGCCTTCATCTTGGCTTTCGGTGTGGGAGCTAATGACGTTGCTAATTCCTTTGGCACGTCGGTAGGCTCCCGCGTATTGACACTACGGAACGCTTGCATCCTAGCAACCATATTCGAGGTGCTTGGGGCTATCCTCATAGGTAAGTACTGTTTACATTTATCTGTTTGCATTTATCGGGGGCAGGAAGCCTGTGTGTATATATATATATATGCTTTAGGCTTGTATCGAGGCCCCCAAAGATCAAAGTACTCGCCCTCCCCAGGATTCAACTCTACAACAGTTGCGTAACTCCCAGGTTCCTATTTACTGTTAGGTGAACGAAGACATTAAGTGAAAGGATACGTGCCCAACCATTTCGAACCCGGGATCCGTGCTGGTTTGGCCGTTTTTGCCTTTTCTAGTAATGGAGTTATTGCTTGAAAATTCCATAATACTATATAGCATAATACCCTTTTCCTCATGAACTGATCTTGCCCATTCTAATCTGGAACCCATACCTAGCCTGTGGGCGATGGCTTAAAGGTTAGTCATATAATGGGTTCAGGAAATGGACCCCGACGATCTTTAGGTTATTCAATTTGTGTTTTTTGGTGAACTAGTTCCGTCATATACCCAGCCAGTTGGTAGGAGTGGAAAGGTTAGTCCCTGGCGTAGGCAAACTTGGAATACTCGGCTATCATTTTTATAGTATCTCATTTTTAGTAAGGTATTTGGACACTTACTACAGGCCTGCACACGAGTGGAGTAAGGCCAGTCTTGAAAAATGTTATTCCATGTGAAAACATAGGACATGACCACGGCGTCTTACAAACCTGGTAGTCTGTTGACTCAAACTAATCGTGAACCCAATTAACAAAATTAGCACCGTGGCGCCACGGGCGTAGCCAACGTTTGTACTGGGTCGCTTGTGGGAGATGCTGAAAGTGGACCACAAGAGATCAGAACTAAATAATGAAAAAAAAAGGTGTGTTGGCTAGGCTGCCAGGCGCGTGAGCAGAAATAGTAGAGTGCAAGTGTTAGGAGTTGATTTGCTCTCCTGCATCACAAGGCCGATATAGTGAATGTTAATTATCTTGCCTTTTACAAAGTTATGACTATTGATTAGTAATTGGACGACCCCTCAGTATATGTCGATCAAAATATTTCAAGAACAAATTATTTGATATAGGTTCTCTTTATTAAATCAAAATGATTATCACGTTGCCTGCAATAATGCTCCAGACAACCCGTTGTCGTCCCCACCCACTGAGGGTTCGTCATTCTTCCTGCTCAAGCGCTCACATAACATCCATTATGACTCAATTTCCTCTCAGTAAATACGAGAGGAAGCAGCTTCATTAGTTCATTCCTCTCCCAGTAATCCCAATCACCGTAACACGGACCCAAAACACTTGGTGCCGGTAGAGGGCTGGAGGATATACCTATACATTAAAGCGCTCATTGTAAATATAGGTAAAAGTTCAGTTAATTATCAAGAGAGCGCGCGCTAAGCCAGTTCCACTGTATAGCGAGACGTGTAAGATAGCGTGTAGTAAAGGGGTGTGTGGGCCCGCTGCCAGCACTCTGGCTTAGGCTTCAACCTTCACATTGTCAAACTAGTTTTGCTTATATTGAAAGTAGCTGTTAAGAAAAGGATACTTGTCTGTCATCAATCTGACAAATAAGATCTTCATAACGTCGGCGTTAAATTTCAATATTCTTTACTATGAAGTGATTTAGTTAAAGTTGTTACTAAATGCAGTTGAACATGCATAATTTACGTTAAACATATTGCCGTCCAATAAACAGTCTCGAGTACAATGATACATTTGATCACCGCTTCTCATTTGCACGTTTTAAATAAATTGAACCCTATACAACATACACGTCAGGTTCAGTTATGAGTGATCATGTTTAGTTGTTGTTGTGCAGACGAGGAGTCACAATAACGTGGCTTAAGATTTGAAGCCTATTGATGTTCTTAATGCAAAGAGAACATAAAATATTACAATCGTATCATTAATACGGTTTGGTAACATACACTTTAGGTCATGTTTCTTGTATACAACTTAATACTTCATATAAAAAGGAGTGTAACATTTCCTTACTAGAAGAAGTTTAGCAGAAAATCCTTCAGTAATCTAAAATTCTATTGTATATTTACATAATATATAATATGCGTCAAATGAAAGTTAAGCATTCATTTTACAAGTTTGCCTCTTACTCTTAACTCCCAGATGACAATGACATCTCCAATTCCTCCTTGGATTTGCCTCAGTCGTGTGAAAGTTAAGCTTCGTATACCGATTCGCCAATTATGGAAATAATTGCAATTTGCTTTGCGATGCTAATGCGTTATGCCTCATCCTTGTAAATTCTATTTTGTACGTATATATATTAAGGCATCTTTCTTATTTTTAGTAAATATATATTTTACCTCCCTCAGTCAAATCGTCCAGCATGGCTAAAGTGTATTAAAATAACATCATCAGTAAGGACGTTTATTGGACTAAAGTGTATGTATTGCATTTGAGGGTTGTGGGGTGCGAAGTGGCCGCCACCTGCTGCGCCGCCAGCCCCCCACACCAACTTCCGACCTTCAACGCAAAACACCGCTCATTGCCGCGCTTCCTGCTGCCACAGAGTCCAGTACATAGTTTCAACATACTAAAACTTGCATACGTTTTTGTTGACCTTAAGCACTCGTCGTGCCTGCTAAAGGATAACTTCGTGTAACCTTAGTTTTATTATTAGATGATCATCCTGTTACCCATGGCGGCAGATGAGGCTTTTCAGATTATTATTATTAGTTTTAGTTTAATTTATTATGAGGCGACTTGCTATTTAACAGTGCTCGTCACATAAGAACGGATACAAGTACTCAAAATGGCGTGTTTAGCGCTCTCTTACACGCTATCAACGAGATGGTAACCAACGTAATTACTTCTTCCTCATTTGCCGAGTTATTGTTATACTACTCGTTGTTTCAGGAGGTATAATACTGAAGTTCTTAATTACTGACAACAGAAAATGAGGTGAAAGAGAGGGCCAGAACTGAATTACGACTAGTCACATGCCTACGTCAGCCACCCCCCCCCCCCAAGATAAGACAGGAGGTAGGGCTGGGTGGATTGTGTTTCCCAAGGGTGCTAAAAGGCCTCTTAACCGTCTCACACAAGGCTAATAGGAGTAAGCTAGTTAATGACAGACAGGAAACAGAGGACTATAGTCAGATAAGAAATGTTGAAATGAAGGTAGGATGGAAGCGAGGTCCCTCTAGGTTCTATTTTCAGACCGCTGATCTGTTAAAGACCCACCCCCCTCTCCCCAGACAGGGTGGTCACAGACCATCCTGTCTGGTAATGATTGTAGACTACTTCAAGAAGACAAATACAAACTACAGCAATAGAAAAATAAATGACTCGCCATGTTCACACCATAAAATGTAATGAATGCTAGAGTTCAATCACAGCAAGTGTAAGATAATGGCTATGGAGAGATATAAAAGATAATCAGAAGGACACAGCAGCAAACGTGGGACTCGTGACAAAGGCACGAGATTCGTTGACTCAGATAATTAATAGCTAAGATGCGGTGCCTTAGAAGCGTAACACGTACAGATAAGCTCACAGCCCTTGCCGGCGCCGTATAATTTCCCCTCCTCTCTCAGGCGGCTTTTGTGCACCAAACTGCGAACAATGAATTCAAGTATGGGTAGGCTACAAGAAGAAATATTTCGAGGAACTCTTAATACAGCTTTGTAACTTGTATTTTGTTGATTTTGGCCTAAAGGGAGAGTTTATAGGGCACCAACATTTATCCCTTAATTTTAAGATTTAACTTATGATCCTAAGGATCCTTAGTCCAACTAGTTAATCTTCCATTGGCATTATCAGCTTATTAGTACGCTCTATTTGTGTGGTTACTTTCCAGATGCTCGTATTCTGTCAGCTTGTGTTGACGTTACAAGTTCTGTGATACCCAATACTGTTTATCAAAACCCTAATGGAGTATCCATGTGTGTGGCTCTGGATGTTCAGTAGGAGTAGACCTTGATACTCAGATGAAGGCCAGGGATAAGAAGGGGCGAGCAGTACGTGATAGAGATTATGTGATTGTGGCCACCACCACCACCAGCTAATTTATTGTGCACACCTCACCTGGGAGGGAAGGCACTGTCAGGAGAAAGCGCCAAGACGTTAGACTATATATCATTTGGAAGGAATCACAATACAGATTTGGGATGGGACGGGGGTAATGGTGCCAAACCACTTGAATGGTCGGGGGATTGAACGCTGACCTGCATGAAGGGAGACCGTCGCTCTACCGTTCACCCCAAGTGGCTGGGCATCACACCCTGACTCAACATTCACACTAATGTGTGAATGTTGCCACCAGCTAGTTTATTGTGCACACGTGACCTGACTTGTTACTTCCCTCCCACTACATATAAATGTTACCCACTAGTAACGTCCGCACCCAAGTAACCCACTTAACATACTGAGTCCGATGCATAGAAAACGTAAATATTTGTCAGCCATTACTTTCCTTAAATTTGCAATTATAATGTTAAGATAACGTAAAAACACGACCCATTACTCTTACTCTTGATAGGAAGGTTGAACGTCAACCCCTCTGGTAAAGTTTGGTGTTGGGTTCAATGAAGGCCTATCATAAGCAGATTAAGGTCACAACAGTAGCTTACTGTCAAGCAAGTATACAGTAATTTAATTGTGATCATAGTTGAGGACTAAAGTAAATTCATTGTATATACACGGAGAAGTAGGGTATGTCTGAATATCCCTTGGAGCCACCTCACAGCTCTATCAAGGCAGACGAGTCTCCCACGGTCTTGGCACTGCAGTAGTATGTGAATACTGTGATCTTCAAGGTTGTATCATAGCTGGCGCCACCGGTCGGGTCAGAGACTTGTGGCGCCAAGGGCGGGGTGGTGGCAGTTTTTAATGAGTTGGGTGGGGTGGTGGGGGGTAAAGGTTTATGGCAGCTCCACCCAACACCTCGGTTAGGTTTCACCCACCCGCCTTCATTGCTCACGTGCACTACATAATCACTAGCTACATAATCACTAGTTCTTATTATGTAGTATATTTTGTATTTTTATAATTATTTCCACAATTTGCATATTGGTAATTCGCTAAGACATGAAAACGTCAAGTACAAGTACAGCAATAATAAACAATAATGCAAATACCAGTCAGCCTATGTATCTAAACAGGCATGTTAAAATTGTGGGTAACATATTATTATGGATCAAATATCTTGGTATTAACTAAACATTAGTTTTTACGGCAGACAAGATCTATATGCATATAGATCTATTCATATAGATGTGACCGGCGTGGTCAGATCTATATGAATAGCGCTGCATGTTTTGAGGTACAGTATTTATATCGCAGCCTAATCCCACTCGGTAACAACTAGCAGTTATTACTGTACATTTATATAATTCGGTATATTTATCATTTATAGGCTTTTGAGTTAAATTATTTTATAAAGACTGGCTGTACAAAAGTGTGATATTATATAAAGTGAATGCTTAAAAGTGTTTCGATTTATTAGGTCGTAGTTAGGGGACTCGACAGTGTTATGTCATGGCTCTCAGAAAGTCCCAAAGAATGAAGTTATAACTGCAGAACCTGATAGGAGTTCGAATCAATATTCAGATACAGGTATATCATTATTTTTTATTTATTTTTTTTATTGATATATACAAGAGTCCTTATATTCTTGTACAGCCACTAGTACGCGTAGGGTTTCCTAACAGCGATAGTGCTAGAGCAGTGCTAACTGTCGTTAAGAGATCAAATAATTATAGATAGGGTCCTGTAGCATAGTGATAAGCGGAGTCGGGTCACAACGAAAGTGTCACTGTTGAATTTCCGCGGCTGGACAGAAACGTTTGGGCACGGTTTTCTTTCACCAGATGTTTCTGCTTACCTAGCAAATAAATAGGTACCGGGAGTTAGGCGATTGTTCTTTGATGGGCATCCTGTTCCTCACTATGGGAAATCACATTTAAACATTTAAACCACTTTAGGTAATTCTTTCAAGTAATAATTTTATAGACAGTCAAACCTGTGGTTCGTGACCCAATTTAATATTGTGTTTGATGTTGCAGGTTATAAGGTCTCCGATACGGTGCGTAAAGGTATCCTGGATGTCTCTCTCTATAACAACACCGAGAAGGAGCTCATGTTGGGTTCTCTCGCAGCTCTAGGTAAGTTCTTCCACACACTTTAACTGGCATATTAGGGCATGTACATTAAAATAATAATAATAATAAATAAAAACAATAAACTCAATCTCTCTCCCTCTCTCTCTCTCTGTCTGTCTGTGTGAGTGTGATTACCTAAGTGTAATTACAGGATGAGAGCTACACTCGTGGTGTCCTTTCCCAGCACTCTTAGTCGTATAACGCTTTCCTCTGTTACAACCTCTGTTGGAGGTTGGAAGGAGGGAGAGAGAGATAGAAGGAAAGAAATATATAGAGAGAAAGAGGGTAGATAGAGGGAGAAAAAGATGGAGAAGGGGAGGAAGAGAAAGCTGGAGAGTAGTTAGAGGGGTAAAGAAAGGGCTAGACGTGTGAAAAGGGGGAGTGGGAGGGAATGTGAAGGAAGAAAGGTAGAGTGGGAGCGTGGGGGATAGGGAAAGAGACGAAGGAGAGGGAGAGATGAGTTTTCTGCCCGAAACGCTGCGCGTGCTAGTGGCTTTACAAGACTGTAATTACCATATTTGTATCCTCACATTCCTTATGTACATTCTTGTATATGCATAAATAAATAAAATAAAATAAATGAGAGGAGAAGTTTGGGAAGGGAAAGAGACTGGTGCAGCCAGGTACCCCATGTACTTGAAGTTTCATAATGATTTACAAATATATGATTTTTTTAGTAGCATTGTTAATAGGTGGGCTTTAGTTAAATCTGTGAACTATTTGAGTTGATATCTGGAATAAACCATTCTTGACATGCTGGCATCAGTCAGGAACAGTTAATTACAAATGATGTCCATTTCCAACAGGGGGTAGTGCAATGTGGAACCTAGTGGCAACCTTCTTCAAGCTACCCATATCCGGCACCCACACTATCGTTGGAGCCACCGTTGGCTTCTCTCTCTGTGCTCGTGGGTTCCAGGGCGTCAACTGGGGAACTTTTGGCAAAATTGGTAAGTAGCATGCTAAACACAGCATATTTTGTGTATACTGTACATATATGAAAGGTTTTTCATACACTGATTATTAGATAGGAATTTGTCATTTTATCTAAGGCTTCAGAATGGGTTATTAATACTGTACTGTAACTGAGCAATTATGGTCAGCATTGTGTTATCGTGATAGGTTTTTCTTCTTTTAATTAAATCCTATATGTTGTGTATGGGTATACAGTATAATTAAGGTACCGTATTATCAGTTCCTTTGTGTTAAAGTATCAAATTTGCCACTTGCATAAATTAGAACATCAGAAAAGGAATTGGCAGCACCCTGTGTGGAATTTTGTATGCTAAGCCAGTCTCCATCATTTCGTCACACATTTACACGTTCAGAGCATAAATTCATAATGTGTAATTTATACAAATTAATTGAATAATCTTTGCATGATTATTGTCCTATGCCATGCAATACACTAGTTTGCTTGAAACTATAATGAAATTCAAAATAAAAATTAATTTTGTACTGTATTGGAGATGATGCTTCCTCGTTAAATAATTACCAAGGCAAAACAATAAGCCAGTATTATTATATCTGCTCACTATACTGTACTCAAATAGCATGTCATAAGAAAGGTTGTGTGTGCTAAGAGTACAGTACTGTTGTGCTGGGTAAAGCGTGGGCTGGTCTGCTGGCACACTTCACACACACTACTGGCTCTTGCTGGTTCTTCCTATTTTTGGTTGCGCACATTCTGTAACTCAGGCTGCCCATCAGAGGTCTCTGGTAGTGTCAGTTATTTTTAAATAATTGATTCACTGAAGAACATGTAAACGCCCTGTAAAGTAAACAGTAGGTTGAAAAATTTTAGCCTTTAAGTCTGGCACTGAAACTTTAAATTGTTCAGTACCTTATTCACTTGAATTTAATGTTGAAATTTAGAACCAGGCATTGAATCCTGTGGGTCCTTCAATTGCAAATTAACTGTCATGACTATAATTACTGGAAAGTATAGCACCCTGCATGATTCCCGGATGATTGCTGCCTTCACTGCTGCTTCCTAACAGATTTTTGTTAAGATTTTATTTGCATGTCACATTTTTTGTTTTGGAAGCAGGAAACCTGTTAGGCAGGTGTGCTAAGCTGGTTAAACAAGTAATATACACGTCATCCACTGTATCCTGTCACAACATTGGCTTATAGGTTTGGCTTGGCATGCCTGACAGTTTGTGTTCACAATGACTCCACTATCAGATATGTTCAAAGAAAAACTTATTATTACTGTACTGTACCTATTAACGAATATTGATACTAGGATCTAGTTAGTTGAGTATTGCATTATTATAACATTAACTGATGAGACACATATAGATTGCACAAACCTTCTATATAGCTACTGGTACTTTATATGGGCACACATTATACCCAAAATATGCAGACAAGATGTAGCCAACAAAATTTAACACATGAGAATAAAAACCTCATTCTTAAAACACTAGATGGCACTATTGCATAATAGCAGTCTAGTACCTGTAATTTTTGGAGTAACATCAAAGGTTATTAGTAACCTATAATCCATGAATATGACTAATCATGTCAATCAGAGATTGGGGTGACTTAATTGCCTGGATATCTTGTAAACATTAATTATTTCAACGCTATCTCATTTTCTATCTCATGTAGACATTCCGTAAATAATAAATGGCCATGGTGAATTTATTCTCATTAAGATTTCATATGCTAATTTATGATGTCACTTGGGATAGCTATGTAATTAGTTATATATCCATTCATGTTTTACCTTTCCAGAGTCAATATACCCAATGTTTAAAGATACACTCAGAGGTTGCATTATTTATAACCTTTTATCAAAATATGAGGGTTGAATATTGTGGCCAGTGATCAATTTGACTAAATGTCTAGTATGAGAATTGGTCATGTGGTCACAGCAAAGCATATGCCTGGAAAGTGATCATAAGTCAAACAAAGCTAGTTGAGAGAATAAATATAAATTAATACTATAACATGATGGCATCTTTCTGATTATTTAAACAGCCACTACAGTTACTCTGAATAATTAACACAAAAAACATATTCTGTAATTAGTTTTCATCTATCATAAAACTTGGCTTGTCTTATTACCAGTTTCCAGCTTAAAACATTGTTTAAAAATCAGGAAGCAGTTTAATATGCAATTTTATTTACCTGAAGCTAACTATACAGTACAGTACTTTAACCAAGGAAATATATACAGTATGTCAAGCAGTAAAGAATTTGAACTACTGTAGTGGAGTTTGCTCTTAAAATTTTTCATGTAAATATACTGTATGTTTGTTATTTTTTACAGTTGCATCATGGTTCGTATCCCCTGTTCTTTCTGGTATCATGTCTGGCGTCATTTATTTGGGAATCAACCACTTCATTTTGAAGAAAGAAAAGCCACTCGAGCCAGGTCTCCGTGCTCTCCCCTTCATCTACGGCTTCACTCTTCTCGTCAATGTCTTCTCAATTGTCCATGATGGACCCTCAAGTAAGCATATACAATACAATACAATACAGTCCATATTTCAACTTAAACTGTAATCTATGATAAATACTAAACTATATAATATCTGCATTAAATTTTGTTGAGACTTAAAGCTAACATATCTCATAAAATCATAGTAATAATCATGCACTATTACTGAATAGTGTAATGTTAATGAAATTGATCTTGATTTTTACTTCTAGTGTTGAAGTTTGATGTGATCCCATGGTGGGGTGCCATTGTGATATCCCTGGGTGTGGGCATCCTCACCATTCTCGTTGTTCAGCTAGTAGTTGTCCCACGTCAACGGAAGGCTATTAATGGTAAGTTTCCATTATCTATGCAAGTATTTCTGCTCAGTGTCGGATTGATGACTGTAGTGCTTTAGTGACTTCAAGCAAGTAAAGCTGTAGTATTGCATAGTTTAAAATTATGCATTTTTTACTGGCATGAAATGCTTGAGAATAATTTGGATTCAGAACTGCATAAAATTTGATATTTAATCATTTTGATGATTAAATATCAGCCCCTGTAGGTCTAGTTTACTAATATAGTGTTGTTTAACCAATCCATCCCAAAACTTGCAATTGCTATTTTGACATAAGTATAAGAAAAATTATATTAGACATGATCAAATCAGTGTTCCCCTTTTTTTTGTCATGATCTTTTTAAAATTTATAAAGCAATACATGTTGCTATACAAAATTATAATTTTATCCACAACAAACCAACTACCTCATGATTGATTGGCATTTCCCCACACCCAAACAGCCCAACTTGACATTGCAGCCACCAAACAGGAGAATGAAGTCAAGTTCACTTTCGACTCTGCTGGTAAGTGTATACAGAATTCAGAAAATATCTGTAAAATCAAATTTTTTACAGTATTTTCCAGATTTGTATTTGAAAACTAGTATAATATACTAGTTATACAGAATTATTTCCCTTAAATTCATATTGTAGATAGACAGCATGCTGATAAATTTTTAACTGTTCGTATTAGGATTTTCTTATGCTGTAGACTGAACAGTTATAAATTTATTTGTTTAGTCCATTTCCAAATAATCTAGTTAAAACGCAGAAAAATTTATGAATGTGTGGCACTTCTTTTATTTTGCACTAGAGCTTGTTACTGCTTATTACTTAAATATCCACTGGAGGGGAATTTCCCTGTAAGATTCGTTATGGCTTGTGGAAATCTTTCTCTTTTCTACTAAGCTGGCTTTAAATATTTTCTATTAAGTAATCGTCTACTCTTGTTGTTTGTGTGATTACTGTTTGCACTTCACTACTGCATTTATTTGCAAATGAGTGCAATGGGAACATTTGTAAAACCTAACCTAACCCAGCTATTACAAAGGAAAAAAAAGTCATATTTTGTTGCATTGTGATGCAACAAAATGGCTGTTTTTATCCAAATATCATTTGTTTCAAGAAAGATGACATGAATGAGCAATTTCATAAAGAAAATGATAATTATGCTTAACACTGTTAGCTTCATTAAAGTTTGATGACTGGTAATTATAAAAAATTAAGTCTGTAGTGATATCAAACTGATTAAACACAAACAGCAACTAATTGTGCTATCAACTCCAATAACGAGGAAAATATTAAATATACTGTTATAGTAATTTCAATTAGTTCATAAATTTGTGTTTTACAGTACAGTACAATTTTTAACTCTGCTTCTTATATGACTAAATTAAATATGCCTTCTCTAATAGATATTTAAATACTGTATAGCATGACAAGCAGCTATTTAAATGCAGCATTACAAGGAACAGCATTGAACAACAGCCTGTCCCAGTTCAGAACATGTTCACGCTTATAAAAACAAATTACAAGGAACTTTCTTGTATTCTTAGCTCTGAAACTCCAGTAATAATATGGCATCTATGACTATAATTACATGTCATTACCAAAGTCTTAGCTTAGGTTGCAGCAATATGGTATGCTGCATTTCTTCCCTGGATTATACTCTCTTGTACAGTACTGGTATTACAGCAAGTGTATCTAAACTGCTATTATCATAAACTGATGACTTAAAAAATATCTTTGATATTTAGTATTGCTGATAAATACACTTTTGAGATGTCTGGGTTGGCATTATAATAATAAATAATAATAATAATTTATTTGCAAGAACATAAAATGGGTTAGTGAGATTACATAGGATTGCTGTTTTTACATTCATGCAAAGCCACTAACACGCATAGCATTTCGGGCAGATCCTTAATCTAACATATCGGGCAAGATGAAATTGTACATTGTAGCAAGGTTTTTATATCAACAAATAACTACAATATAAGTTGACAGAGGTGATTACACTGGTAAGGATATGTGTCTTTAAGTACTAATAATGGGGAAGTGGGGCAGTACAAGATACAGTGAGAGTTTGAAGCACAAGGTAGGAAACTATGAGGATGAAATTAGGTACTTTTTGGTTTTACTTTTGAACAGGGGATGGGTTGGACAATTTTTAATTCATCAGAAAGTGAGTTCCAAAGGTTAGGCACTTTTATTTGCATGGAGTGTTTGCACAGATTTAGTCCGAATGGGGATATTAAATGGATATTTATTTCTGGTGTGGCGCTCTATTACCTATCAAGGTTTTGTAATGTAGATAGCACATGAGAATGTGTGGAGTGAGTGTATGTTTAGCATGTTCGGAGACTTAAATCGAGGGCTGTGTGTTTGAAGACAGAGTTTGTTATAGTTCTGATAGCAGATTTTTGCCAAGCGATAATAGGTTTGAGGTAATTTGGAGTGGTTAAGCTCTATGGCCAGATACCGTTTGTAAAATAGGGTATAGATTAGTGCATAGTATAATGAGAGTAGAGCAGAGTGGGGACCATAATATATACCGACTGTTGTTGACCAGACCACATACTAGAATGTGAAGGGACGACGACGTTTCGACTTGAGAATGGTCCAGGACGGACCGAAATGTCGTCGTCCCTTCACGTTCTAGTGTGTGGTCTGGTCATCATACTTTAGCCACGTTATTGTCACTCATCGCCTGCATACCGACTGTTTTTGAGACTTTTTTGGCTGTGTGTTGTAGGTGGGCGCTGAAGTTCAATCTCTTGTCTATCTATAGGGCGAGAAACTTTCTCTCATTTTTATTGGTAATGTAAACATTGTATATCTGAAGTTGAATCTGATTTGATGATTTACTACCAAATAGAATGTAATAGGTCTTTTCTATGTTTAGTGTAAGTTTGTTGGTTGACATTCATGCGTGGACTTTTTTTTTTTTAATTCATTGTTGACATTATTATTTAGTGTGTGGGGGTTGGGGTCAGAATAGATGAAGGTAGTATCGTCAGCAAATAGAATAGGTTTAAGAATGTTAGAAACATTTGGCAAATCATTGATGTATACTGTATAAGAAATAGAGGTCCCTAGATGCTGCCCTGTGGCACTCGTGTTGTCAATGGTAGAGAGGGTGAGGTAATAAGTAAGGTACCAATACCTTATGTATTGGTTATATTGGTTATGTATATCATACATAATACCATATATATTGATACTTTGGGATCTCCAAGCCTGATTTATCAAGATTTGTTGGTCTTGATATATGTTAATCTTGAATTCATTTAATGTTTTTTCAGATAACTTAGAAATGGTTGAACTATTATATAATGAAGGTAAAGGCATATATATCCCAGTGTTATGATTTGTTTTGAACAGAAACTTGCTTTTGAACTTGCTATTTATGCCCTTGTTTGTCTTTTGTCTACTTGGGACATTTGAGGTGTGTAATTATCTCAATTCTTATCGGAAACATTCCCAGGTTTAATTTCTTATCATATATGCATACATTTTGCATTATTAGCACTACTCGGTACTTCAGAAATATATAATACTGTAATAATACTGTTAGATTACAGTATATGTAATTACAGTATATGTATTATATACAGTGTTACAGTATATAATACTGTTAGAAATTATCTAAATTTATTTTGATATTACATTAAATTCTTGATATTAAATTGCAGTTTTGTGGTGAATTTTTATATTGATTACTATAGCAGTATTCATTACTGAAAATACTATATGCAAAACTTTTCCCAAATATGTCAGCCTCAGCTATCTCTATGCTTAAGTACAAACAAATCAGTACTTAAAATAGTTGTGAAGAATTTTACATATTAGCTTATCTATCACAGAATTCAAAGTCCACTATACTATTCCAGAAATTTATCATTCATAAGTATAGTACTATTCTTGTATTTAAATATAATTGCAGTATAGTGGGCCTTGGAAGATTGTAATTTAGCAAAAATGGGTGGAACTGTTGTTCATTAGGCCACCAACAAAACATATTGGGGAGAGTAAGATTCTACAGAGTCCTGTTACCTGTTATCTGCTGGGCCTGGCCACAGACCAGGCCATGAGAATGTAGATCCTCGGAATCATTGCAAGTTTAAGGTCTAATTAACATCGCAGTCTACAAGTCTAACTACTTGTAAAAGTAATTAGCAGAGTCATTGGCAGCCATATGAAATTCTGCATATCGAAGTTGTATACAAAATTCTTATAGCTATTTATATTTCCGTTTTCCACATTTTTAAACTCATTTGTAAAGAAGAAACTCATCATATGCCTTTGTTGTGAACATTTTAAGACTTGCATAAATGATAGTTTTTAGCTGACATATTGTACAGTGCAAGGGTTAGGGTGTTTGCCATTTGCTGAATCAAAATTTGTGGGCATTATATTCCTAGTACAGTACATATTAGTACATGTACTACTAATTTGAGCTATGTGCTATATGGAATCCTTTTATTGCAAGTGTATGTAATTTTGTTTGAAACTTCATTCAGAGCTCAGTATAATAATAATCAATATTTTGATCGGAAATTATCTAAACTTTATCAGTTTCTTTTAGTATATTTAGATTAGTTGGAAATGTATTGAGAATGATTAACACGCTGTTGTCCATCAGTGATGTCACACACTATAATCACAATAACATTCATACAGTGTATATATAATTTATACTAACAGACATTTTAGTTTATTTTGATTTCTTAACTTTTTGCTGAAAACATTTACATCTCTGGGTGAGTGGCATTGTTCTAACCCTTTTGCTTCTTTGATGTAGTTTAAAAAATTGTCACATCTTTGAAATGTTAAAATCGGTTACAAACCATTTAAATACATACTTGTTTTCATAACTACCACAGTTGCCAGCAAACAGCATATAGTAAATAACTTACTCACAAACATTAAAAGTACCAGTACTAAGTACTTACTGAACATGAAATATATAATAACTCCATTCAGATGTCTTAAGAAAATTAAGAATTTTTATATACCTTTAGTCATGCGTTCATTTTTATATTGAACCTGCATATGAAAAATAAGAGTGATAGCTATTTCTTTGTGTAAATGGTATTGAATAAATTGCATCACATAGCAAAAGGGTCAACATGATGAGTGACTTGTTCTGTGTTTTTCATAACATGACATCCTACTTAACTTACCTTATGGGATTACATTTTTATCTTGTAGGTAAATTTGTAGTGTTGCATCTTTGCTCTCACCTTTTCATTGCAAGTTATGTGTGCGTTTGTTTATTACAGTACATTTGTATGATATATATATCATACAATATGTATGATATATATATATCATATATATAAAATATTTTATATGCATATATTCAAACATTATCTTTTGCAATGCAGAACTGAAAATGTTTATTCATAATTTTGATGTGTACACAATTTCAATATGGCTATACTACAATTAATTTTGTTATATTTTGTTACAGATAATTCGCGTTCACCCTCACCTCCGAACCAGGACATCTCTGTGATTGAGAAAGGCATCTCCCCCACAACCTACACATTCAACAGTACCACTGAGGTCAATGGATACATACCTGCAGAAAATAAATCTAATCTTCTTGGTAGTGGACTTGATACCACCTCCCCTTCATCCAACTCTTTAGGTAAGAACACAAGCCTAAAACTTTCTTTTAGTTATTGAGCATGCCAGAAGAAAATTAAATTCAAATAGAGTAAATTTGTTATGTAATCTACTTTATGAAAACATTAATAGTTAAAATCAATAGTTAAAATCAATATTAGTTTCATTGTATAAATAAGTACATTTTCACACATTGCTGTGTAATTTTCAATCACATTACTGTATAGGTGTATTACACATTTATTATATTTTGTTTTTCACAGGTGTTACCAACAACAGCAGCCAAGTACCTCTTGTGAGTACCAATCAAGTGAAAGTGATCTCAATGGAGGAACTTGCTGACAAGAAGGATGTTGATGCTGACAGAATTGAGGTGAAGAGTCTCTTCTCTTTCCTTCAAATTCTTACAGCTACATTTGGCTCCTTTGCTCATGGTGGAAATGATGTTAGTAATGCTATCGGTCCTTTGATAGCTCTGTGGGCAATCTACACAGAGGGTTCTGTAGCACAGTCCTCTCCTACACCTATCTACATTCTCTTATTTGGTGGGGTAAGTGTGGCTCTCTTTTTCATGTACAGTATCTGTAAATATTAATTGTTTACTGTACTGTATATTGTTTTATATTGCTGTTTTCTTAAAATAAATTGCATGAAGATTACTGTGCAGTCAATGCATGAAATGATGTTAGAAAACACCTAGGTCAATCATAAATTAAATGGATAATTCACTAATGAGCATAATTAACTTTTATTTGCAGCTGGGTATCTCTGTGGGCCTGTGGGTATGGGGCCGTCGTGTCATCCAAACTATTGGTGAAGATTTGACCAAAGTGACTGCATCTTCTGGCTTTACTATTGAGATAGGATCTGCCTTTACTGTGTTGTTTGCTTCAAAAATTGGTCTCCCTATTTCCACGACTCACTGCAAGGTTGGATCTGTTGTCTTCGTCGGCTGGGCCAAGTCTTCTCGTCAGGGTGTTGATTGGAAACTTTTTAGGTAAGACAAAGGGCACTTTTTTGAGTTATAATAGTGTATCACTTTGGAAATACAGTATGTAGTTAATTTAATAGTCTATTTTAGTACATTAATTTTATAATTCTTAATTTCCAAGAAATCTTCAAATTAAATCATGGAATTTATTTATCTAATTGCTAAACTTTAATCAAGAAATCTTTTTTTAATTATAATACTGCTGTGTACTTTAAATTTTATTAAATCAATTATCCACTAAAATTATACCGTGAATTTGTCTGTAATATAGAAATATGTTATTAATGATACTAATTTTACATCTTTTGTCAACAGGAACATTGTGATAGCATGGGTGGTCACCGTACCTCTAACAGCTGGGATATCAGCCCTACTCATGCTTATATTTAGGATTGCCTTCTTATAAATCACTTCCCTGCTACTGTGATACTCAGCTGGGGACATTCACTCCCAATCCCAGCTCCTCTTGTACCCAAGTGTGGCTTCTCCAAGGTCCATTCTTGCAGCATTAATTAGGATTTTTATGTTGGATGCCAGTGGTATGGAATCACTGTGTGGGTCCTGCTGCACAATATGCATGTGTCTGTGCACATTAAGATATATTTTTGTTTAATAGAAATACAGTATTATTAGATGCCAGTCTGTCTCCAATACATTGATTCTTTGTGATGCTTAAAATCTGCAAGAGGAGTATGGTCACAGGACTTGGTGTTGGTAAGGAGAGTCCCCTGTGCTGCCATCATTACCAAGTTTCACAATTATTGGCAGCCTTAGCCTTTTCATTACACCACTTTAATGTACAATCTTCACTGTCTCATTAAAACAGTGATTTTTGAATTATTTAATTAATTAAATATTTTGAATGACTACATAATTGCTTATAAAAGTTAAAATCTATCCTGTGTGCAATTGTATTGGTAAAAATATTTTCAGTAATTTTTTTCGGAAATGCAGATACATTGAAGTTATTTATCTGAGAGTAACTGACAAGTTTTGCATGGCACTGCCAAAGACATCCTTTGTTGCCTTGTTTCCTCCAAGAGTTACTCCTCCTTTAGGGAATGACATCATGCATTGAACTTTTTCCAGGCACTTTATCTACTACCTTCCAAAATATGTAACTTTTTTTTTATTTATTGTTGGAGTAAATATCATTCCATAACGAAGGACTATCTTTTTTTTTTTTTTTTACCGTAAGTACTGGATACTATTCAGTTACTATCTAGCATAAATACTCTTTACATGTGAATTTTATTCTGCAATTTCCTGTAATAATTATGGAGTTCACTGTTTTTAGGGGATTGTGGTAATGAATAATAACTTCATTGTGATATATCTTTTGAGCACAGATGTTTATGAAAATGTTGAGGTTGCCTACAGATGCCCTTGCTCTCATACAGAGTTGAATTTCTCTCTCACAAGTCTAGTTAGAGGATGGGCAACGTGTGATCGTAAGGGATCACAATAATCAAGTATAGTAATTGGTAATAAATGATTACTCAGCAAAGTTATTCATATATTTTAAGAATCATTGAGAGTATAATTTATAAATGTAGATGATATACTCATAAATTTTCAAATCATTTTTGGCTGTGAGAGAGTTAGTTCTCCTATGCATTCATTATCATACAATGGGTTTCACACTGTTCATATTCAGTTGCAAGGATGTTTACATTCTTACAATCATCCATACATATTTATCATTTTCATTACAGTACTTGTTAGTTGCTCTGGGAAGCATAATGCTAACTTGGAAAATATTAAATGTTATTTTTTTTATAAAGTACATTAAAATGTGGAATGTTTGTGTCAGAGCAGTCTGGTTTGTAATGGTACGTATGAGTTGCATCCAGGTCTATATTTTGATATACTCCTTGTGTATATGGTTTAAGTTAATAATGGCCAAATTCAACCAAATAAATTTGATGAAAGAAATTCTGATGTCAATTAAAGAAAATTATGTTTAATCATAATTTTACTGAGTATTTAACAAAAATTGTTCAAAAGTATGTTGTATCAATATGATTACTTTCTGTATGTAGGTAAATTAAAAGAATACAAGGTGTACACGAGATGCAGTGTGGTTTTAATTTTATATAGTTAATCCCAGGTGTGTGATTCGGAGTCTCAATCCAGGCACAATATTACTGTTAATGAGCATCATGCAGCCAGGATGGGGTGGGGTGGGATATGTTAAGTGGGATATATATATTTACTAGGTAGGGAGGGTTTAGGGATTTTGATGGGTTGGGTAAAACAAACTAGTCGTGCTTATTGTACAGGGGAAACGTGATAGATATCCTGAGCTGTATTTTAATTTCCAATGTATTTGTATATTTTCATGATTAAATATTGATATATTACATAATTTTTATATATAACGAAGTATGAATAATAATAAAAAATTGTTCAATAGCATTTTTCACTGATGATTCTCCTTTTATCATTGTGGAGTAATACGATGCATCTGGTCATGTGTCTCAACATGTGCAACTGACTACACAATGCAGGTCAATGAGTGTATTTGTAAAAGGTTCATCCTTAATATAGTTCTGGTACTCTCAATAATGAGCCTTTCCATCAAATTCCATTATCTTCCATAAAGCAGAGAAAATCTACCTTGCAATATCCAGTTAGTGGAACAATCTCGTTTAAACTATTTTTCAAGTTCCTTTTGGAATGAAAGGTATTACCAGTTATTTATTTTACTTATTACATAATTTTTCATACGTTTTATGATAAGCCAGCACTTTTTAGCAAGTTTTGTCTTTGATAGTAAAATATTGCAATGATTTTCCAATCTGCACTTTATTTCTTGAGCATTATGCAATTGTTGATCTCAAGTCACTCTTTCAAATTTTCTTGCAATGTCATCATATAATCCGTATGTTTCAGTTCTTTAAGTCATTTACCATGGCCCTAAATTATTACTGATTCTGCCTTTTCCCTTTCTTTTACAATGCATTGTAATTTACAAGATACCCTTGCTTAATTGACAAGTTATATTTTAAATTTAGTTTATATATGAGTATATTGTTCATGTATCTTGCAACACAAAATAATACTCCAATGGCATTAAAGTAGCTTTAGCTGCAGATTAGTGCTCCAATTTGGTATTTTATCAAAGAAAATATAATTTATTTATTATTGCAAACATTTTATAATTCAAATTTAATTAGGGCAGAATTGGATGAGTTCGTAATATTCATTGGATTCTGCTAACAAATTATGTAAAAGCTGCAGATATAAATAATCTTAGAGTATTGATGACTATTTCCTTCATGCTGTTAATGAGTTTTGAAACCTAAATTGTAAATTATATTTAAAATATTGCTGATTTAGCAGCAAGAATTTATTTTCTCTATGAGGATAATAACTGCTACCAATCCACATCATTTGTACAGAATTAATAAAATATTTTGTTTGTATTATGACATTTTTAATATATCCTTTTACACCAAACAAACTGGTAGGTCACAAAATGTTTTATGGTGGGTTGTGGAACCTAAATTCCAAGTACAGTACTGTACTAGTGTATCTAAATCATTGAGAATTAGCAAATGGTGAATATCTTGCTGTTTCTAACTGTCATAACCAGTGCATAATTGCACTTATGGGGCTGTTACATTTACCCAACTCCCTCCCCCGATTTAATTCCCCTCGTTTTCTGTTAAGACACACAGAATTTTAGATTAAAATTTTCAATTTTAATTTGTATTACACAAGTTTTAAATATAAAAAAAAAAAAATTCTGGTTTATTAAACAATATAGATTTTATACAAAATTTTAAAATATCCTGAGTTATTTTACAATTTATTGATATATTTTAGTTTTGCTTTATTAGTTTTATAAAACTGTAATATCAATATAGCTATAGGTTAAGTACTAATTGTAATTAAGAAGCAATAAAATTATTATCTTCAAAAACTAAGACGGTTAGGTGAGGTTGTGGTTTTCTTTTCAGTTTTTGGGGTAAACTCAAATATTCACTATATTTGACAGTACGATTTAATACTAAGTGAAAATAAGTACAATTCCTAACTGCTATGAATAGTACATAATTGCACTTATTTGTCTCCTTACATTTACCACCCCATTTTTGGAGGACGGGCTGCTTGAGCAGGCAGTTTTATCAATTATGAAAGTGTGGCAGGGGATTGTAGGTTTTTCAGAGTTTTAGAAAATAGGACCACAAATCTTAAAAATGTTGGAGGAAAATTATTTAAATTATGAAAGTGTGGCAGTCACAGGTCTTTTGACTGTTAGGAAACAGTCGAGTCCCAAAAAAAGTTTGGAAGCACTTCTTTACACTTAATGACAATATAGTTCTAGAAGTTGTCCACAAACTGTGTTCTAGCTTTAGCAATAAATGCACAAACATATACTGCACTCAGGATGTGTGAGCACTGTGAAAGTATTTAATATAAATGATTTGACAATCTCAGATGGCGAGGCTGCCCACTTATGAATACATTGTAAAAACAAGTAAAAAGTAGTGGAGGTGGGCAAGATTAGGATTGTTCAATTTTGAGCTTCCAAAGACAGCTTGCCTAGTCAGCCTGTAAAGATTTTTTTTTACACAGGTTGGTATAGGACAAAAAACTTTTTCACCTGTTAGCAGGCTTAGAGCTTTTCCTTCCCAATGCTCATGGCAAGCCTTCCCCACTAGTTTTCCCTGGAACACTATACACTCATCCCCCTAAATCGTTTACGGGGCGAATGTTACCACTCTGCCACCAAGGACTCCATCTAGTCTCTACTGACCAATCATGATAAGTTATCTGCATTACACTACTAAAGAGATGGTGAGTATTTTTGTCACAATTTGCAATGCTTTTGTAATTGTTGCTAACATCGTATGTGAACCTTAAAATTGAATCACAACATAGGCCATTACCTAAGTTAAAAGTTGTCATACAACAATTTATTTCAATAAAAGCCTGAATATCTTCCACACGATTGATTGATGAAGATTAAGCCACCCAAGAGGTGGCACGGGCATTAATAGCCCGTAAATCTTTCAGACAAACATGCAGTGAATCCAAACCGTCTTGCAAATGTCCTCGTGATTATGAAAGTGTGGCAGGGGATTGAGTGGAAGTGTGGAACCTTGGATAGGTTCCATTCTCATTTCTTAGAAAATCCACTCCAGGCTGGTTCTTAACAGACACTATAAATAGGCATTACCACACAGAGGCTACAAATATCAATATTGGAGAAGAAAGAGTTCTGGAAGAAACATTGTGACTGGAAGAGCTAGTTCATGTACAGTATCTCTCAATTTATACTTATCATTTCCTACACTACTGCAATGTGCAGCCTTAAGAGCATCTTTTCCTGACAATGAGAGATGGCTTCTACTCTTTATATATAAACACTTAAGCTTCTGTTCTTCAGATGGTAGAGTTTGTCATACTCCTTGCAATCAAACGAATATGTATATCTAGAGTTTACATTAATTGTTAGTGACTGATTGCACTCAACTCTTAAAAACATCACAGTGACATGATTGTCTGAAGTAAAGCACATATACAGTATATAATAAAATAATCAATAATGGATTCAGAGGTACCCAAAACATATGCTCTTTAGCAGGTTGATTATCACTTTGATTTGGTGTTACACTTAAGGCCTATCAACCTCTGAAAGGGTCAAGACCACCATCACAGTATACTGATCAACCAGGAAGTAGACTTCAGTCCTAAACATAGCCCAGGTTTAAGGTGAATTCTGTGAGTTCATTACCTGCAGTAGTAGAGCTGACAAAAATTAAAACGTTCTCAGTAAAATTATTCACACACTATATAACTGAGTGCACAAAATCCAAACAGTTTAAAGACAACTCTATCACTGTTATAAAAATGTCTATGTATTCTATCCGGGATGATATTACCAGAAATCTTAGTATTATATATAGCAATATAATTAAATCAATACCCTTGTAACCATACCAAGTTTGAGGCAATAAAACTTATAACTAACACTTGTATCACAAATGTAAATAGCCTATCCTAAAGTACATTTAGGTTCAGTTTCTTAAGCCATTAATATGTGGTGTAGCCTTTTATGTTAATAAAGCCAAGCTAACCAAAACTTGAATATACTGATCATGTAATTCTTAACAAACTCGATCTGTAGATAGAGTTCGTCACTGCTATAACTTTCTTATCTAAATGAAAATTGATGTTCACTCCCTGAACTAGTTATTTGCTTTTAATCTTAACACCACCACTCCAAGGATGGATGTGGCGTGCATAATAAATACCAGAGTATGGTCATAGAGACGAAATATGGGGATCTAAAATTGACCTCATAACTGAGTAAAACCGCTAGAAAGTAGTGACCAAGGAAGACATACTACGTAAATTCAGGTATCTTGATGACAAAAAGGGAAACGGGAAGTGGCATATAGTTTGGCCGCCGTCATACACACCACGCGCCAGTCAGCCAGTATGTCAGTGCACCTCCAGACGGCAGCTCGGGTCACCTCAGGGCTCCACTTGCCTTTTCACTAGCCCGCCTTCCTGCCTCACTAGCCCGCCTTCCTGCCTCACTAGTCCGCCTTCCTGCCTCACTAGTCCGCCTTCCTGCCTCACTAGTCCGCCTTCCTGCCTCACTAGTCCGCCTTCCTGCCTCACTAGTCCGCCTTCCTGCCTCACTAGTCCGCCTTCCTGCCTCACTAGTCCGCCTTCCTGCCTCACTAGCCAACTTTTCTGCCTCACTAGCCAACTTTCCTGCCTCACTAGCCAACTTTCCTGCCCTCACTAGCCAACTTTCCTGCCTCACTAGCCAACTTTCCTGCCTCACTAGCCAACTTTCCTGCCTCATCTCGTTCTCGCCAACGTTCCCAATTCCAGAAAGCTGTTGTACTAAACTGCTCTCTCTAACCACACCAACCAGAGGACACACTAGCAGAAAACAAGACATTGTCAATTTCGCGCGCCGCTACTATTTCCTTGTACGACAGCTTTCGGCCTTAGAGAATACGTCAAAATGCGACGCGCTATATACGAGGACAGGCTGCATCAAGGCAAATGGGGAGACCTTCGACAAGCCTCCGGCTTCCTGTCCTCGTCGAGGCCACTAGTGTTAGTGACCAACCGAAACTTTGTCTCAGGTGAGTGCCGGGTATTGCCTTAAACTTGTCCCACAGCCACGTGGAAAATGAACACGTGTAATGGAGGATAATACTTGACATTAAATAAGATGCGTAACAATTTAGTTTGAATTATTGACAGATTTGAAAATAATTAATAGTTATAGACGATATAATTATATAAACAGTAGTTGTTTTAACAGGTTGACATAGATGGGAAAAGGTGAGGAAAATTGATTACTTGTAAATAAGGTAGTTCTTACTTTCTCTTATGAACTGATGATAGAAATGCAATTTTTAATCTCATTGGAGAAGTCATCCAGCATTTTGGGACCCCCCCCCCCCATGAGTTGCAGTTTTTCCTTTGGTTAAGTTGTACATTTGGAATATCAAAAGAGAATTTATGTAATGGAAATCCGTGGGTTCTGTTAGTCTTCTAAGAAGAGCTTAAGATCAGGATTAGCATTGCAGTGCAGAGCACACTTGAGAGGATGTGCAGCGACTTGATACTTAACATATTCACGGATTTCAATATGAATATGTATATCTGATTGATGATTGATTGCTGTCTCGGACTGGAGATTATTGTTCTAATTGCTGACTTTTGTTGAGTAGTTAGAGGTTGAAGGTAACTTTAGGTTGTGGATCCCCAGATCAGATCCCCATCTGATATAATTCATAGCTGTGTGATAACTATCGTATGTTATCATATGATAGCCAGGGAGTTTATCATAGGATAACTTTGTATAAGATCGAAGAAAATAAGTTAAGTGGGTAAAGGAAGCCTATTTAAATAAAAAAAAAAAAAAGGTAGAACAAGGAGGCAGTTTTGGAAGCTTGACATGCAGTTTACCTGAGGGCCACTAACACTATAAAGGCCTCAACTTGGACAGGAAGCCGACGGCTTGTCGAAGGCACCCCCCCCCCCATTTGCCTTGATAATCTTTTCCAGTTTGATTTTGAAATTCAACAGGCAGCATTTACGGCTTCGGCGGGTAGGCGGTTCCATATGGGTTTATAACAATGTGGGTGAAAAAGCATCTCCTGTTGAAGAGATGTTAGAAAGTTCTTGTTCCATGTACAGGTGGTCGGTAAGTGGAATGACTTGACGGAAGAGGTTGAAGTCAATTTCATCCACAATATGATGAAATATGATGAAAATTCTGATGGTGAGAGGGGTTAATTAGCACATCTGGTATGAATGGCTGTGAGGAAGAGTATAAAGATCTAGATCCCGCGTCCCCACCCCATCAATCACTAATTGATTAGCATGGTGATGGAATTTTGCAGCGGTTTGGATGGCCCATCAGCACATGCAGGGCTCGTACTTA